TATATATATATATATATATATATATATATATATATATATATATTCTACGTGAGACACCTCTTTATTACGGAGTGAAACTTTTAAACAATCTCCCAGGAGAGATTAGTGGAAACATAATCACTCATTTTTAATGCGGTTATTAAATGAATCACTGTTTTGTAGAAACATAATTCCACGTTATAGAGACTTCTTTGTTTAATGTTTACCGAGTGAAACTTTTAAACAGTCTCAAAAGTGAGATCTATAGAAACTTAATCACCCGTTTAATTCGGTTATTAAATGAGTCATTTTTTAGAATTCGTGGAGGTGGGTGTGCTTTTTTGGGTTTGTAGTATAAGAATAATTTATTACTTATAAATAATCAAATCAAGTATTATTAATAGGTTACATTTATTAATTATATTGTTAATAAAGCATACTATGATAATTATTTTATTTATGAATAAAGTATATAATTAATTATAACTTAACTATTTGATAAATATAACATGAATTATCAAAAACTTTTAGTAAAATTAAAACTAAACAAAATTGTTAATTTTAAAATTAATATTTATTAATTTAAAACCCACTTAACTTTAGGGGTGCTTATTTTCAGTGTGGCCCTATATTAGCACAACAAACTAGGAATGACAACAGGGTGGGAATTATATTCCATCCCCAACCCCGACCCCCAAATCACCCCCCATCCCCGTCCCTGATCCCTGGTGGGGAAAGGAGTCCCCCCTCCATCATCCCTGTCGGAGACCCGAATCCCCGACGAGATATGTATGCACACATCCTGGATCATACTATGAAGGACTGAGAGTCTGAGATAGAGAGATTGAGACTGATAGAGAGAGAGAGAGAGAGAGAGAGAGAGGACCATTGCAAGAGTTGAGGTTGGTGACAAGAGAGAGAGAGTGCGACAGGCGACGACGATGGCAGTCAGGGACGATAGACGAAGGTTGAAGCGACGACGGTCGGTGAGTGGCGACAATGACTCTTCTTTGAGTAGCTCTTCTTTGTCACTCGAGTATCTCTGTCCTCTGTCCGATGTGTGACGGGCGAGTGGCTACAACGATGACGGTCAGTGAATCGGTGATCAGCGACAAAGACGAAGGAAGAGTGGAAGACGAAGGCACGAAGCTAGGGACCTAGGGTTCAAAGATAGAGTTCTCTCTTCTCTCTGTCGAAGTGTTTTGTGTTTTATGTCGAGGGTTTTAATATTTCACTATTTTTTAAGTTTTAATCTTTTAAAAAAATGAATAATAATTATTATAGTTATATAATATTATATATATTAATCGGGGATGGGTCAGGGTGGGGATTGCATTCCCCATCCTCGTCCTCGAACCCGA